ATAATGTTGGCCTCGGGGACCAATAGCCGGTGGTTTGGGGACTTTCATCTGCACCTGATGCTCGTCTCGTAACCGGCGTGTGCACTGCGCGACAAACACGGGGCAAACAGTCTAGTCGGGGCGCGAGGTGCGCCAGAGGCCCTGGTGGTGGAGACGCCGCCGCCGCAGTAGTATGGTCCCGTTACGCATTCATCCAACACGCCCCTCCTTGAACAAATTTATTCCCATTGGAAACGAAACGAGAGTTTGGCGTCCGCCGCCCCCAACCCCCCTGCCCTGAGCCCGGCCGCTGAGCCTCACACACCCCGGTGTGCGCGGCCCAGCGCGGCCCGGGTGTTTGAGTTAAGCGCCCCTCCGTGAAATAATCCCAGCCTTTCCAAAACCTGGGCAAGCCGTGCGGGGTGCGGGCCGAGAGGGAGGGGGGGGGGTACAGGCCAAAGCGGGCGGGTATGCTGATTTCCTCCCCTCGTGCCGGCCAGGCCAGGCGTGGCGCCGCGTGGGCAAACAGTGACACGGAACGAGCCCGGCCGCGCCAAAGCGGCCGAGCCGAGCCGGGCCGAGTGGTCATCAGGGGTCGGACCCACGTCCCTGTATCGGCCAGCAGAGAGGGAAGTGAAAACGTTCGCCAAAATTCTCCTCTCCCATCTCTCTCCTCCTCGCCGCGGAGGCCCGGCCGGGTGGGGCGAGGGAGAGAGAGAGAGAGAGAGAGAGAGAGAGAGAGAGAGAGGGAGATAAAGTCACCACGCGGCCAGCGGAGGGGGTGCGAGGCGAGGGGCGAGCGGGGCCGCACGCTCGGCCACCCACAACGAATTATGACGTTATTTACTCGGGGGGGACCGGAAAAGATATGTCGGCCTGTTTGAAGTATAAGGCCGAGGGCGGGGCGGGGCGGCAGAGACGGATGGTGCAGTGTGTGCAGTGCGGTGGGAGGCGCTCTGATCCTTACGGCCCCAGCGGAGCGCACACGGCCGCCGCGCACCGCCGCGTCAGTCGAGGAGGGTCTCTCTCTATAGGCCTTGATGCAATAACATTTTCCTCCGGTCACGATACATTTCTCTTACAGTAGAGCAGCCCCCCCCCCATACTTTCCGGCTCGCTCTGCTGCTCGCCATTTAATTTCCCGCTGAATAATTTGTCACTTGGAACGCTTAATCAAGCAACGAAAGGTGATTAGTCTAATCCATCAATAGGACCATTCCTCTTCCTCCTCCTCCTCTCCGTCCGGGTCCTGTCCGTGTCCACGTCAGTCAGCTGTCTCCGCCCCGCCCCCCTCCGTCCTTACGCCAGGGCATCCTTACACCACCATGCTTACGCTCCCCAGACTGCTTTGTGCTTGTGCCGCAGAGTACACCATACCCGTGTAGCCCCCGCTATGGCGAGTCGCAGAGCTCCTCGTGAGAATGTGCAGCCAGTACCTCTGCCCGCCGCAGCCACGACAGACGCGCCGCGCGCTCCGCCAGCTCACATTTAATTTAATTCGAGAAAAGTGGGAATATCCGCGCCACACAAAAGGGTTGAGCCTGCTTTGGAGTCCGCTTGTGGCGGCACGCCAGATAGCCTCCGGGTCGCGCGCGACCCGCCCCGGGAGTGGTATAGTGGGGGCCGCGCGGCCTCAACTTTGGCGATAAATACCGAGAGTAGTATTGTAACGGGCATCCTGGCGCCGGCGGTCAGCGCGCGAGGCGGCGGCATTGTCCGCGCGTGAAAGTGTTAAACGCGGGCGGGAGATTAATCAGCCCGTCGCGGTGACGCCTCCACTGCCCTGTATACAGCTTCCCAAAGGGACCAGTTCCGACAGGATAGAAACACGAAAAAAATAATAATCAGCAGTCTTACTAGAGGCAACGAATTTATTTTTCCTTGCCCAAAAAAGTGTCAAATGTCAACTGGTCTAAAATGAGTAATAAACAGTAATACAACAATAAAACAAAGAATTACATCACTACCACTTGTGCTGCATCATCATTATCCCCGCCGCAGTCACATGGTCCACGAGCGCCGCAAAAGTATCACTGCAATGCCCACACGGAGGTGGTCGAGTCGGACTTTCGCGACGAGTCTGAAGAGCCGAGCATACTGTCGGCGAGAACCGGGTAGGTTGCCTGGAACTCGGCCCACTCCTTGGTGCCCACCAGCGAGTCCATGTTGAACACCACGACGGCCGTCAGCCGGCGGCGCAGCGGCCTGCTGATGAGCTCGCACAGCCCGGCGGCCCGCAGCACCTCCAGGGCCCGCGGGGCGTCGCAGGTCCACAGGCGCAGCGAGCACTCGTCGCGCAGCTCCGGAACCATGTACTTGTCCGCCAGCTGCAGCAGCTCCATCTCGCAGCCGCCCCAGTCCTGCACATGGTCCGTGTACAGGAACTCTAGGAACTTCTCTATGGCGCCCTTTGAAAAGTCCACCACCTCGACGCGGCACTCGCGCGCCTCACGAAAGTCGCCCGTCAGCATCTTGTTGAACACGGGACTGCGCAGGGCCAGCACCAAGCGGTGGGCGGGCAGCTCCGCG